TGTGTCACCGTCTCTGTGTGTGTGTGGTGTTAGTGCCCTGTGTGTCACCGTCTGTGTGTGTGTGTGGTGTTAGTGCCCTGTGTGTCATCGTCTCTGTGTGTGTGGTGTTAGTGCCCTGTGTGTCACCGTCTCTGTGTGTGTGTGTGGGGTTAGTGCCCTGTGTGTCACCGTCTGTGTGTGTGGTGTTAGTGCCCTGTGTGTCATCGTCTCTGTGTGTGTGTGGTGTTAGTGCCCTGTGTGTCATCGTCTGTGTGTGTGTGTGGTGTTAGTGCCCTATGTGTCATCGTCTCTGTGTGTGTGTGGTGTTAGTGCCCTGTGTGTCACCGTCTGTGTGTGTGTGAGGTGTTAGTGCCCTGTGTGTCATCGTCTGTGTGTGTGTGAGGTGTTAGTGCCCTGTGTGTCATCGTCTGTGTGTGTGTGAGGTGTTAGTGCCCTGTGTGTCATCGTCTCTGTGTGTGTGTGGTGTTAGTGCCCTGTGTGTCACCGTATCTGTGTGTGGTGTTAGTGCCCTGTGTGTCATCGTCTCTGTGTGTGTGGTGTTAGTGCCCTGTGTGTCACCGTCTGTGTGTGTGTGTGGTGTTAGTGCCCTGTGTGTCATCGTCTCTGTGTGTGTGTGGTGTTAGTGCCCTGTGTGTCACCGTCTGTGTGTGTGTGTGGTGTTAGTGCCCTGTGTGTCATCGTCTCTGTGTGTGTGTGGTGTTAGTGCCCTGTGTGTCACCGTCTGTGTGTGTGTGTGGTGTTAGTGCCCTGTGTGTCATCGTCTCTGTGTGTGTGTGGTGTTAGTGCCCTGTGTGTCACCGTCTGTGTGTGTGTGTGGTGTTAGTGCCCTGTGTGTCACCGTCTGTGTGTGTGTGTGGTGTTAGTGCCCTGTGTGTCATCGTCTCTGTGTGTGTGTGTGTGTGGTGTTAGTGCCCTGTGTGTCACCGTCTGTGTGTCTGTGTGAGGTGTTAGTGCCCTGTGTGTCATCGTCTCTGTGTGTGTGGTGTTAGTGCCCTGTGTGTCACCGTCTCTGTGTGTGTGGTGTTAGTGCCCTGTGTGTCACCGTCTCTGTGTGTGTGAGGTGTTAGTGCCCTGTGTGTCACCGTCTCTGTGTGTGTGTGAGGTGTTAGTGCCCTGTGTGTCACCGTCTGTGTGTGTGTGTGGTGTTAGTGCCCTGTGTGTCACCGTCTCTGTGTGTGTGGTGTTAGTGCCCTGTGTGTCATCGTCTGTGTGTGTGTGGTGTTAGTGCTCTGTGTGTCACCGTCTCTGTGTGTGTGTGGTGTTAGTGCCCTGTGTGTAATCGTCTCTGTGTGTGTGAGGTGTTAGTGCCCTGTGTGTCATCGTCTCTATGTGTGTGTGGTGTTAGTGCCCTGTGTGTCATCGTCTGTGTGTGTGAGGTGTTAGTGCCCTGTGTGTCACCGTCTCTGTGTGTGTGTGGTGTTAGTGCCCTGTGTGTCACCGTCTGTGTGTGTGTGTGTGGTGTCAGTGCCCTGTGTGTCACCGTCTGTGTGTGTGTGTGTGAGAGGTGTTAGTGCCCTGTGTGTCATCGTCTCTGTGTGTGTGAGGTGTTAGTGCCCTGTGTGTCATCGTCTCTGTGTGTGTGTGTGGTAGTGCCCTGTGTGTCATCGTCTCTGTGTGTGTGTGGTGTTAGTGCCCTGTGTGTCACCGTCTGTGTGTGTGTGTGGTGTTAGTGCCCTGTGTGTCACCGTCTCTGTGTGTGTGAGGTGTTAGTGCCCTGTGTGTCACCGTCTCTGTGTGTGTGGTGTTAGTGCCCTATGTGTCACCGTCTCTGTGTGTGTGTGTGGTGTTAGTGCCCTGTGTGTCACCGTCTCTGTGTGTGTGTGTGGTGTCAGTGCTCTGTGTGTCATCGTCTCTGTGTGTGTGAGGTGTTAGTGCCCTGTGTGTCATCGTCTCTGTGTGTGTGTGGTGTTAGTGCCCTCTGTGTCACCGTATTTGTGTGTGTGAGGCGTTAGTGCCCTGTGTGTAACCGTCTCTGTGTGTGTGTGAGGTGTTAGTGCCCTGTGTGTCACCGTCTGTGTGTGTGTGTGGTGTTAGTGCCCTGTGTGTCATCGTCTCTGTGTGTGTGTGGTGTTAGTGCCCTGTGTGTCATCGTCTCTGTGTGTGTGGGGGGGGTGTTAGTGCCCTGTGTGTCATCGTCTCTGTGTGTGTGTGGGGTGTGAGTGCCCTGTGTGTCACCGTATCTTTGTGTGTGTGGTGTTAGTGCCCTGTGTGTCACCGTCTGTGTGTGTGTGTGGTGTTAGTGCCCTGTGTGTCATCGTCTCTGTGTGTGTGGTGTTAGTGCCCTGTGTGTCACCGTCTCTGTGTGTGTGTGTGGGGTTAGTGCCCTGTGTGTCACCGTCTGTGTGTGTGGTGTTAGTGCCCTGTGTGTCATCGTCTCTGTGTGTGTGTGGTGTTAGTGCCCTGTGTGTCATCGTCTCTGTGTGTGTGTGGTGTTAGTGCCCTGTGTGTCATCGTCTCTGTGTGTGTGTGGTGTTAGTGCCCTGTGTGTCACCGTCTGTGTGTGTGTGAGGTGTTAGTGCCCTGTGTGTCATCGTCTGTGTGTGTGTGAGGTGTTAGTGCCCTGTGTGTCATCGTCTGTGTGTGTGTGAGGTGTTAGTGCCCTGTGTGTCATCGTCTCTGTGTGTGTGTGGTGTTAGTGCCCTGTGTGTAATCGTCTCTGTGTGTGTGAGGTGTTAGTGCCCTGTGTGTAATCGTCTCTGTGTGTGTGAGGTGTTAGTGCCCTGTGTGTCATCGTCTCTATGTGTGTGTGGTGTTAGTGCCCTGTGTGTCATCGTCTGTGTGTGTGAGGTGTTAGTGCCCTGTGTGTCACCGTCTCTGTGTGTGTGTGGTGTTAGTGCCCTGTGTGTCACCGTCTCTGTGTGTGTGTGTGGTGTCAGTGCCCTGTGTGTCACCGTCTGTGTGTGTGTGTGTGAGAGGTGTTAGTGCCCTGTGTGTCATCGTCTCTGTGTGTGTGAGGTGTTAGTGCCCTGTGTGTCATCGTCTCTGTGTGTGTGTGTGGTAGTGCCCTGTGTGTCATCGTCTCTGTGTGTGTGTGGTGTTAGGGCCCTGTGTGTCACCGTCTGTGTGTGTGTGTGGTGTTAGTGCCCTGTGTGTCACCGTCTCTGTGTGTGTGAGGTGTTAGTGCCCTGTGTGTCACCGTCTCTGTGTGTGTGGTGTTAGTGCCCTATGTGTCACCGTCTCTGTGTGTGTGTGTGGTGTTAGTGCCCTGTGTGTCACCGTCTCTGTGTGTGTGTGTGGTGTCAGTGCTCTGTGTGTCATCGTCTCTGTGTGTGTGAGGTGTTAGTGCCCTGTGTGTCATCGTCTCTGTGTGTGTGTGGTGTTAGTGCCCTCTGTGTCACCGTATCTGTGTGTGTGAGGCGTTAGTGCCCTGTGTGTAACCGTCTCTGTGTGTGTGTGAGGTGTTAGTGCCCTGTGTGTCACCGTCTGTGTGTGTGTGTAGTGTTAGTGCCCTGTGTGTCATCGTCTCTGTGTGTGTGTGGTGTTAGTGCCCTGTGTGTCATCGTCTCTGTGTGTGTGGGGGGGGTGTTAGTGCCCTGTGTGTCATCGTCTCTGTGTGTGTGTGGGGTGTGAGTGCCCTGTGTGTCACCGTCTCTGTGTGTGTGTGGTGTTAGTGCCCTGTGTGTCACCGTCTGTGTGTGTGTGTGGTGTTAGTGCCCTGTGTGTCATCGTCTCTGTGTGTGTGGTGTTAGTGCCCTGTGTGTCACCGTCTCTGTGTGTGTGTGTGGGGTTAGTGCCCTGTGTGTCACCGTCTGTGTGTGTGGTGTTAGTGCCCTGTGTGTCATCGTCTCTGTGTGTGTGTGGTGTTAGTGCCCTGTGTGTCATCGTCTCTGTGTGTGTGTGGTGTTAGTGCCCTATGTGTCATCGTCTCTGTGTGTGTGTGGTGTTAGTGCCCTGTGTGTCACCGTCTGTGTGTGTGTGAGGTGTTAGTGCCCTGTGTGTCATCGTCTGTGTGTGTGTGTGGTGTTAGTGCCCTGTGTGTCATCGTCTGTGTGTGTGTGTGGTGTTAGTGCCCTGTGTGTCATCGTCTCTGTGTGTGTGTGGTGTTAGTGCCCTGTGTGTCACCGTATCTGTGTGTGGTGTTAGTGCCCTGTGTGTCATCGTCTCTGTGTGTGTGGTGTTAGTGCCCTGTGTGTCACCGTCTGTGTGTGTGTGTGGTGTTAGTGCCCTGTGTGTCATCGTCTCTGTGTGTGTGTGGTGTTAGTGCCCTGTGTGTCACCGTCTGTGTGTGTGTGTGGTGTTAGTGCCCTGTGTGTCATCGTCTCTGTGTGTGTGTGGTGTTAGTGCCCTGTGTGTCACCGTCTGTGTGTGTGTGTGGTGTTAGTGCCCTGTGTGTCATCGTCTCTGTGTGTGTGTGGTGTTAGTGCCCTGTGTGTCACCGTCTGTGTGTGTGTGTGGTGTTAGTGCCCTGTGTGTCACCGTCTGTGTGTGTGTGTGGTGTTAGTGCCCTGTGTGTCATCGTCTCTCCACCTTCTCGGTCGGCGGAGGAAGAGGAGGAATGATGAAGAGGGAGGGAGGAGGAAGAGGAATGATGATGAGAGAGGGAGGAGGAGGAATGATGATGAGGGATGGAGGAAGGAGGAGAAGGAATGATGATGAGGGAGGAAAGAGGAATAATGATGATGATGAGGGAGGAGGAGTAATTATGATGGAGGGCGGAGGAAGAGGAATGATGATGAGGGAGGGAGGGAGGAGGAAGAGGAATGATGATGAGGGAGGAGGAAGAGGAATGATGATGAGGGAGGGAGGAGGAAGAGGAATGATGAGGGAGGGAGGGAAGAGGAATGATGATGAGGGAGGGAGGAGGAATGATGATGATGAGGGAGGGAGGGTGGAGGAGGAGGAGGAATGATGATGGAGGAGGGAGGGAGGAGGAATGATGAGGGAGGGAAGAGGAATGAGGGAGGGAGGGAGGAGGAATGAGGGAGGGAGGAGGAAGAGGAATGATGATGATGAGGGAGGGAGGAGGAATGATAAGGGAGGGAGGAGGAATGATGATGAGGGAGGGAGGAGGAGGAGGAGTTGGAGGCTGAAACACGACGCCCGGTGTCGTCACACAAAGCGAACTCAGCTGACAGCCATTTTCAGAGCGCCTCCTCCTGCTGCTGCTGCTCCTGCTGCTGCTGCTGCCGAGCGAGAGACGTCGATCCCGGTGCGTAACAACGTCCTTGATCACGTCTGTCGTGTTGTTGTTGTTGTCGTGTTGTCGTTGTTGAGAGTAAACAACAACAAAAGGCGGCGCGTTTATCTGTCGGCTGTTGGAATTTATTGAGGAGCGAGCCATCATCGTAGGCTGACTCTGTTGTGTCGTCTCCCCCCGTGTGTTGTCGTGTTGTTGTTGTCGTGTTGTTGTGTTGTTGTTGTTGTGGCCGCTCTTGTTTGTTGGTGTTTTGCTGGTGGCGGGAGGGAGGGGGGCAACCCTAACTTCAACCCCCCCACCCCGCGCGCCCGCGTCTCACCACGGACCGGCTGTGAATGTGACACAACCACACTGCATCGTCACCACCACCACAACCATCACAACAACAAACACCACCATCACAACCACCACCATCACAACCATCACAACAACAAACACCACCATCACAACCACCACCATCACAACCACACTGCATCGTCACCACCACCACCACAACCATCACAACAACAAACACCACCATCACAACCACACTGCATCGTCACCACCACAACCACCATCACAACCACCACCATCACAACAACAAACACCACCATCACAACCACCACCATCACAACCATCACACCCATCACAACCACCACCATCACAACAACAAACACCACCATCACAACCACACTGCATCGTCATCACCACCACAACCATCACACCCATCACAACCACCACCATAACCATCACCACCATCACAAGCACACTGCATCGTCACCACAACCATCACAACCACCATCACCACCGCCATCACAACCATCACAAACACCATCACACCCATCACAACCACCACCATAACCATCACCACCATCACAAGCACACTGCATCGTCACCACAACCATCACAACCACCATCACACCCATCACAACCACCATCACACCCATCACAAACCACCACCATCAACCATCACCACCATCATAACCACACTGCATCCGTCACCACCACCACCACCACAACCACCACCACCATCACAACCATCACCACCATCACAACCACCACCATCATAACCATCACCACCATCACAACCACACTGCATCGTCACCACCACCATCACAACCACCACCACCATCACAACCACACTGCATCGTCACCACCACCATCACAACCACCACCATCACAACCACCACCATCATAACCATCACCATCATAACCATCACAACCACCACCATCATAACCACACTGCATCGTCCCCACCACCATCACAACCACACTGCATCGTCACCACCACCATCACAACCACCATCACAACCACCATCACAACCACCACCATCACAACCATCACAACCACCATCACCATCACAACCATCAAAACCACCACCATCACCACCACCACAACCATCACCACCACAACCATCACCACCACAACCATCACCACTACAACCATCACCACCATCACAATCATCACCACCATCACAACCATCACAGCTATCACAACCACCATCACAGCCGCCACCACCATCACAACCATCCAGCGACTTCTGTCTCCTTTTACGCAACCACCCTGTTGCACATACTGTATTTGTTCCGGTCATTCTTAGTTACCACGATCACCACCATAACCACCGACACCACCGTAACCACCGACTCCACCAAAATCACGGACACCGTAACCACCGACACCACCATAACCACCGTGACCACCGACACCACCGTAATCACTGACACCACCAACACCACCATAACCACCGACACCATCATAACCACCGACACCACCATAACCACCGTGACCACCGACACCACCATAATCACCGACACCACCATAATCACCAACACCATCATCGCTTAATCCACGATCGATGTCACCACCGTCACTGCCTTTCATTATTTATAACACAAACATCACAATCGATACACCCAACTTAATCACCATCACCATCGATATATAATAGACCACCATCAACATTACCCTCATCGTCACCATCACGACCTGCATCCCTCCCCTCAGTCACCACCACCACTACTACATCTGTTACAACTGATATCACCACCATCACAACCAACAATACTACCTTCCACACCATCACTACCATCATCACCTTCATAATTACCACCATCGCTCCAATACCACCATATCCACCACCACCAACACTAAGGAATCATCAACACCATCACGTTCACCCCTTCATCACCACCTTTGCCTCTTCCAGGTCTATCCAAGGAAGGAGTCGACCCTCCGGTCACAGCGGAGTTGGCATCGCGTGTCCACCACCCATCATCCACCTTGTGAGTGATGGGGAGGGAGTGGGCTGGGTGAGTTGGTGAGTGGATGGAGGCTGAGTGTGTGGGGTGAGCGAGCGAAGTAGTTTCAGTGGATGATGAAGCGGTGTCGGTGAGAGTGCGGTTGAGTGAGTGAATTTGGCATTTAAGCGGTTAGGCAAGCGAGTGAGTGAGTTAGTAAGTCAGTGAGTAGTTGTGTGTGCGTGATTTTAGTGAGTTGGTGAGTGGATAACAGAACGGTTAACAAAGTGGGCGAATGAGCGGCTGAGTTAGTATACGATTTAGCGAGTAGACAGGTGAGCGAGCAGTCTGATCAAACAACTTATCCACCCTCGCCCTCACGAAAACTTCAAACCTAGAATGAACTTAACCACCATTTATGGTCTCTTGTCACCCTCCCAAGCTCCGGCGCCGTTCGGGAGTTGCGGAGGAGACCCTCGAGGCTGTTGGGGGCGGCCCGGGTGGTGGTGGTGGTTTGGTGGTCGATCTCGAAGAGAGGAGGCCGGGGGTGGGGGGGGTTGGGGAAGGAGACTCGGCAACTCGGAGGGAAGAGAACTTGGGGTGACCCCCGGAGAGAGGACTCGGAAGAGACTCGGGCCGATGGCGTCCCCACGGGGACCAGGGTCGTCCTCTCAGAAGGCGCTCCTGCGGGAGCTCAAGGGTGTCCAGCAGGACGAGCCCATGGAGGGCTTCGCCATCACCCTGGTGGACGAGGCGGACCTCTACGTGTGGGAGGTCGCGATATTCGGGCCGCCAAACACCCTCTACGAGGGCGGATACTTTAAGGTGACCTGCTGGCTGACTCTCCTCCGCTTTGTCGGCGCTTGCGGCGGTGGATTTGTCGTTTTGACTGTGGATTTTTTTTTCTACATTGAAAGTTCAAGTTTTTAGTTCAAGTTTATTTTATTGAACCGGGTTGAGAGCTCATGAGACCAGGTGGTCTCCGTTTAGCACGGTTGGCTACGTACGGCGCGAAAGAAGTTCAACGTACATACACGAACATTCACTAGAGTGACCCGTCTCATCAACATATATACAATACATTTACACACGATACATTTGCTGTAAATCAAGTTTGATCTGGCTCATCAACATATTAATACACAATACATTTGCTGTAGTGATCTGGCTCCTCAACACACACAATATATTTGTTCTAGTGATCTGGGCTCATCAACATTTTCACAATACATTTGCTATAGTGATCTGGCTCATCAACATATAAAAACACAATACATTTGCTATATTGATCTGGGTCATCAACACACACAATACATTTGCTATACTGATCTGGCTCATCAACATATACACACAACACATTTGCTATACCGATCTGGCTCATCAACACACAATACATTTGCTATAGTGATCTGGCTCATCAACACACAATACATTTGCTATAGTGATCTGGCTCATCAACACACACAATACATTTGCTATACTGATCTGGCTCATCAACACACAATACATTTGCTATAGTGATCTGGCTCATCAACACACACAATACATTTGCTATACTGATCTGGCTCATCAACATATACACGCACAATATATTTGCTATATTGATCTGGCTCATCAACACACAATACATTTGCTAAACTGATCTGGCTCATCAACACAATACATTTGCTATACTGATCTGGCTCATCAACACATACTGATCTGGCTCATCAACACACAATACATTTGTTATATGTTGATGATCCGGATCATCAACATATAACACAATACATTTGCTATACTGATCTCGCTCATCAACACACAGTGAATACATTTGCCAGAGTGACTCAGCTCAAGTCAACAAATTAACAAACTCTGCCGCTGGGCCCCCAAGCTACCATCCGCGTCCCCCCCCTGTAATGTCGGGGCTTGGGGTAACGAGAGGGATCCAATGTGAACATATAAACAACAACAAAAAATCGTCGAGTGAAGTTCTCCTGCCGCTGTGAGGCGACTGGTGCTCGTGAATGTCACCAGAATTGGTCGTCAAACAGCCGCTGCAGAACTTGGGAGGCTAAATCCGGTGGTACGACGCGAAAGAAATCCATAGGCGCACACATTACAAACGCAACGACAGTGCCACTCTTATTTGTAAATGTACATCATTGACGGCCACCCATCGCGCATCTACGGCGATGAACCACCATCCCAGGGACATGCCCTCGTGTTTACAAAAAAAAACGTTATATAATAAATCGGGGTTTAAAACAAAGAAACAAATTCTAGTCGAATCATTGCGAGGCCCTCTCCGACGCGGCTGAGGGCCTAGCGAAGGCTTTTTACGGCTTTACTAGCGAGCGACGCCGACGCTGCGTCCCGAGGACGGGGCGGGATGCGGTGGAGGAGAGGGTGAGGGTGGGGGGGGGTCGGACATAGGTTAAGTAAAGACGGAGAGGTTCGCGTTGTAAAGGCAGTATTTCGTGAACTTAAAATGAGGCGCAAGTCATCAAATGGCTCGTACTGTGAACTTTAAACGCCCCGAGATGAAGCCTCGTGTTTGTTAGTGTTTAATGTGTATGGGTGGGCGGGTAGGCGATGTTTAACGAGGCGAGAACAGCTGGCTGTAGTCAGCAGCACGCTGTTAACTGTGTTCCTAGAGTTGTGCTTATTTTATTATCACGGTCCTCCTTATGTTGGCTTACTTTGTTCTATTTACTTTAAAAAAAAGTAACCGGGCGCTAAATGAAGACTGGCTTATCGTTTACATTCAACGAGTCCCGTGTTTCACAACACGAGCCGATTGTATAGCCTTAAGATTAATGTACTGTACAGTTTTGAGGATGTTTTCGTCCAGCAGTGAATTGACCATGGATGATGATGATGATATTGGGAAACATGTTTTTTTTTACAAACTTTAGTGCGGCACTGGACCTGTTTACTACCAAGGCTAACGTAATTGTTCTGATTATCACGGTCTTTGTTGGTTGGGGTTCATTTACAAAGTAATTACGTTTTAGACTACTTTTTGTCGTTTAAATGACAATCGTCATTTGTATTTATATAAAACAGAGATTGCTATTGCAATATGCAGTGACCACAACCTGCTGTACTCTCAGTCTTGTACCGATCTACAGCGAGGGGTGAGGCCTTCAATCCAGCGGTGGGTAGGTCGTGGCGGTCGAATCATTTTGCAGCCCTTTGGCGATCAGTCCACTGCTGGATGAAGGCCTCGACACCGTGCCAGTCGTGGGAATCGTTTGGCCATACTTCACCACGCTGGTCATTGTGGGTTTGTGAAGAAAAAGGGAACCCTGGTTTCAGATTATCGCTCGCTTCTGATGATATCCGCTGACCCGGGGGTTCGAACTCTTTGTGGCCTCATCATCATCATTTAGACCTCCTTTGCCAGTACCAATATGTAATAATAGGGTTTTCCCCTTTTTTCTGTCAACAAAACTGAAACATTTTTACGAGGATTCATGTCTGCATTAACCACAATACCTGCAGTCAAAATGCAAACAAAAAAAACATACTATAATATATGCATTGTCCTTGAAACTGGTTCATAGTACCACCACTCCACTACAAATTATTGCACGCGAATGATTGTAGGGGACACAAAAACAATAATCACGATCGGCTCGCGTAAACAAATTGTATGCAACATTACAACATTCACGGTTAGCTATTACCCAAAAGTGTTGTCAGGCTGTGGTTACCAGGTAGGCCAAGAGATAGAAGCACATTTAATGAATTTGTCTTTGCTGTTTTGGGGTTTTCTCTGGCTATTTTGTCTTCAGTTTGTTGTCTTTCCTCCCCCCCGTACCCCTGATTGAGCGCGGTTGGCTTCGTACGTTGCGAAAGAAGTTCTACATACACTCCTATTCCAGTCTCTTCCGACGTTCAGTAAGAAAAAAAACATGTCAGTGTAGCAGGACCCTCCTGAAAATGAGTCGAGACTGGTGAGGCTTTGCTGATTAAATAAATGCCATTATTATTACTTGCCGAGAGGGATGGTGAATCGATAATTATCATTCTCTTGATATAAGTACACTCCTATGCCACGTTCGGTTTGATATTTACATTTGTGTCGGTCACATTACCTGCAATAAGCAACGGTGATAAACAGATTAAACCAGACGCGACCCTAGGGTACTTGGGAGATGTGCAGGACATTGCAGACGCCGCGTGCAATAAAAGTCGGCGTTATCCTCTGGGTTTGTAAGTTGATAGCCGCCGTCTGTGCGGAGCGGGTAACAACTCCGTAAATGGAATAGGCCAAACAGCCCCGTGCAGGACCCTCCTGAAGCAGACCTTGTGGACTCGCGGAAAATTTCCTCGCCAAACAGAAGGGGGCATTGCTGTGACTGACACAGTGTGAAGAGGCCCTCATCCAGCAGTGGATTGTACGTGTGTTCATTGTGTGCACATGTACAGCCCTTTTGTCAGTCCACTGCTGCTGGATAAGGGTCTTTCCCACGCTGTGCATGTTGTGGGGGTTATTTGACCACGCTTCACCATGTTGGCCAGTGCATATTGGTTTTTGCTTCACTGCCCGGCGCTGCCCATCACATGGGTCTGTTATAATTAAGTTAAATTCCCACATTTCAAACAACAGCACCTTAACAAATGTTCCCTTCATTTATCAATTGAAGCGATGCAAAGGTGGCGTTAAACACTTGAGGTGTTTTACGTTACTGTTTTCGGGTCGAAGGAGCTTACAGAGCTCGTCATTATGTGCTTAAATAAAGTACTTAAGGCTTGTCTTCATTTACAACAGTGCCTTGCAACTGACCAGTGTTACCGTGTATATGCCTTCAGAGCAGAGAGAAAGATGATTTATAGAGCGAGGTGTGTTCGAATTTTCTGCCCAAAAGGAAATTTAGTTTGGGAATGAAAAGTAATTGTCTACTAGTTACAGAAGATCCCAGTTTGAATGTTACCATTTCTTCAGGGTGCAGGTATCCTGAGTAAATATTTTCATTTTCAAGGTCATCTTTTGAAATTGAGAATTCTGCTCTCAGTTAGTTATCTTTGTTAGAGATGCTATCTATATTCACGTGTACATTATATAAAATGCTCACTAATCCATACACGTACTTTCACAAGCTATACAAAGATATACCCATATAATTTTACATATGGGCAAGTGATTTTAAGTGAGCACATATTAAGGTCAGTAAGACCTTCAACCTGCACTGACAAGTGTGGTGAAGTATAATGAAACAACCCCCATGACCGACACTGTATGGGGAGGCCTTCATCCAGCAGTGGCAAGATGTTAACCCCCCTCGCCTGGTATGCAGGAGGTCGTGGGTTCGATCCCGACCCTAACGCCTGTATAGTTTGCATGTTCTCCCTGTGGTTGCGTGGATTTTTTTCCAGGTCCTCTGATTTTTCTCTCCGCATTTAGAATCAACATCACGCGTTTACAGTATTTGACTGCTGTCCACGTGATGATGAGCCACTTCGTTGAGCTATAATTTATGGCCAGGTTGCTTCTGAAAAGAGCTACGTCGCTCAGTGGGCCTTGCCTGGTAGAACAAAAATAGTTTACAGGTTTTTTTTTTTATAGGACATTACATTGGTTTATGAACGATGTATCTTCAAGTGAATTTCCTGAATGTTGAACGTCTGTTAACAGGTGCCTTCATTAATGGATGTACTGCTCTGTCACGATTTCCCGTAGGCCCAGATGAAGTTCCCCAAAGACTACCCCTACTCTCCGCCAACGTTCAGATTTCTGACGAAAATGTGGCACCCCAACATCTATGAGGTGGGACTGGGCGGACGCCAACGCCGTCTAAGAAAGTGCACGCAACGGGATTTGTTTTTCGGAGCGCACAACAACAACAAAAAAACCCATTGAATGTTTATGGGGGACGATGCTTAAGATGAGAACAGCTGGCTGTGGTAATCACGCTCACTGTTCCTGTTCAAAATTTTTAAAAGTAATCTTTGCTGAATGAGACTGGCTTATCGTTTAAATTTAACGAGTCCCATGTTCATAACACGAGCTGATTGTATGGTTCAGATTTCTGACGAAAATGTGGCACCCCAACATCTATGAGGTGGGACTGGGCGGACGCCAACGCCGTCTAAGAAAGTGCACGCAACGGGATTTGTTTTTCGGAGCGCACAACAACAAAACACCCATTGAATGTTTATGGGGGACGATGCTTAAGATGAGAACAGCTGGCTGTGGTAATCACGCTCACTGTTCCTGTTCAAAATTTTTAAAAGTAATCTTTGCTGAATGAGACTGGCTTATCGTTTAAATTTAACGAGTCCCATGTTCATAACACGAGCTGATTGTATGGCCTTAAGACTAATGTACTGTACAGTTTGTGGATGTTATCATCCAGCAGTGGCTTGACCTCGCTGGCCAATCGAGAGTTCATCATCGGCTGTAATCTTTTACATCGGCACAGTTGGTATTCGCACCATTCTTATAGGGAAAGGCTATCATGAAGCTGCTGCGTTTCACAGACTGGTATAAGTCCGCCAGTAGGGGACGATTTTGCAATGTGGGTTCCCCCCCCAATAAAGTATTAACCTATTAGCTGCTGGATGAAAGCCTCTCCAAGCCACTTCAGCATGCCGGTTGGCACGGGTCTGTGTAGGTGGGGGGGGGGGCACACACACATCACCCGCCTGCTGTTGGCCGTAGCCAGGAATCGAACTCTGGGTAGCGGGGGTTCATAGCACGGTGCGATGACCACCGCAGCCACCGCTCCGACCCATCATCGGTCCCTCGAGTGAAAGCCAGCGTCGCTCTACGCAGAGACGCTGTAGCCGAGGGGGGAGCAAGTGAAACAAAGTTCTACGTGATCTAAGCTGAGCACTCGAGCTTGTGTCCTTGGCACGTGAAGCCAAGCTGCCTTGTTGTCCTGTCCCCTGGGCTACTGCTCCTACACGCCTACCGAACGTCACCGGGAAATGTGTGACGTCAATGTGTGACGTCAATCTATGATGTCAGTGCTGCCCCACATGCCACCCCGACGCTCCACTTCCAGCTCTCCTTGCCCCTCCCCCCCCCAACTCCAGAGTTCGATAGCCCCCTACTTGCGGAACGGTGGCACTGTCCACATTCGGTTGTAGGCATCTCCACTGGCAGTCCTGAGCCATTTGTGGAAATTCCACGTTGCTATGGAGGGAACTGTTGTATTCATAGGTAAGAGTTGCAACTCAGTGCTGAATTCGATTGCAAGAATATTTTCTTTTACATCTTGATAAAAGTATGACCGCCAGTGGTTGCTGGGGTCAAGTGACCCCATGACAAGCGAAGTATAATAAAGTTAAAGTTCCGTACATTCGTCACGTCCTAATAAATTCCTACGTGCGCAATTCGATGTGCCCATTGTGCGCGTGTAAGAACCCGGTTTCATCCCTGACGCGGCGCGGCGTTTTCTTGCCTATCCATAAGTGGCTCACCATCGAATCTATTTACAGAATCGCCAAATTAATGATGTCAACGCTCAATTTCGAGCGATTTTGCCGAGAGCTAAACATAGCCAACTACAGCGCCATCAACAGCAGGGGCCGTCCGCCCGTGCCATAAGCGAGGTAGGTGACTAAGAGGGTGGAATGTGGTGGCTGTGAGACACCAACGAGCCGCTCGCTTATTTACAACGCCTAGGAATTTTGCCGTAGGCTCGGCGGCGCGGCGCTTTGGCTGGTTGCGCAATCTGTTGTCGTCGTAGTCACTTGGCAGCGGTGGGAAACTTTGGGTCTTCTTTTCTCTCTCTCTCTCTCTCCCGCAGAACGGCGACGTGTGTATATCCATCCTCCACCCGCCGGTCGATGACCCGCAGAGCGGAGAGCTTGCTTCGGAGAGGTGGAATCCCACGCAGAGCGTCAGGTGAGATGGCAGATGGAACGATGAACGCGCGACGCTTCGGCACCTCCCGAGGAGATTGGGGCCATGAAATCGGCCCCTGAGCAGGCGCTGGTGTGGGTTTTCACAGCGCAGGATCGCGAGAGGAGGGGGTGGGTGGCTCGGGGGGGCGTTCATCCAGCAGCGGATCGAACGTGGCTGGTAATGGTGCTGTTGCCAACTCGCTGAGTTTTCGTGATTCGGGCCTCGTGATTTTGGGGTTACACAATCGAATACAAGAGTCAATTGTAATTTTTGTCCCATTCATACCATCGATTCGTACCTTACGATTTTGTGAGCAAACTTTAAATTGGAATAATATAAATCGATTTTTACACTACGTGATGAGTGTAATATTAGCGTAAGAATCAATGTTATTTCATTCTTACGCTAATATCAGTTTAAAGCGTAAGAATCTATTGTATTTGACATACAGTCACATGCACGATGACCGTCAAATAAAAGAACAGAGTTGTGGGATTTTGGTCTCGAGTCCCAATTGCAGCTTTGAAAAAGTTTTACAAAGAGAGCGGACCACTGGCAAAGTGTCCCTTCTGACGTCACAGGTTGTAAATTTTTGTTACTTTCCCGAGGAGGCCGTCACATGGCGAGAACGAAGGCCCATCCTTTATCTCTCTCTCTCTCGTTTAACGGACGTTACATTGGCCGCGCACGTGGGTCCCAGGTCACCTTTTGCGTCGCCGGCACGTCGCAAATCGGGGTGGCTTAAAAAAGCAAAACGCGACAAAACACAATCCGTGACCTCACCCCCCACCCGCTGACGTTTCTCACGGCCGTGCAGGACGATCCTCCTGAGCGTGATTTCGCTTCTCAACGAGCCCAACACCTACTCGCCGGCCAACGTGGACGCTTCCGTCATGTACAGGAAGTGGAGGGACAGCAAGGGCCGGGACAAGGAGTACGCCGATATCATCAAGTGAGTGCGGCCGGAGGGCCGCCTGGCGCCACCGTGCCCAGCGTGCCCGCGGTCGCTGGACTTTGCACGTGGGAAAAAAAACGCACGCAAGGTGGACTTCACACACGGCGAATGTTGATGCAGAGCAAAAGCTGTAACTGTACACCGAGGTGGTTGAGCCTGAGAATTGCGTCTGGAACAGCGGTGTGGCGAATCATTGCCGCGATGCCCCTCCTCCGTGTTTGTGAACCGGCCATGTAATCGCTGTTTGTTCCATGGTTCCTTTCTGGGTGGGAGAGTTTTTTTTCCGATCTGCCATTCGTGCATCAAGTATCTGCCGATACTGCTGCTGCTGCCGTGGTTTGTGTGCCGATGCGGTTTAGGGTTGCGGCCCGTAAGTTCAGAATCGGACTATTTATACTTGTACACAGATGTCCAGTAGGGGCAATACGCCAGTGATCTTCTGCGTCGGGGTCTTTCACGAGACGTCTGTGGACCTAGCAGTGGCTACTGACCGCACAAGGCAATAAGGGAACACATGATCACATGAATTGGAGTGGAGGATTTCGAATTGGCGTTGTGACAATTTGCCGATTTATTAATAATTTGTATTTTATCGGGTCAGATCGCGTAAATAAAATGTGTCGTGAACCCTCCTCCACCGCAATGTGATGATGAACAAACGTGGCCAATTTATAACTGCTTCAGCACCGCCGGTGTGTTGGGAGAGCGATCCACAACATTTAAATGGGTGTGGACGTGTCACTGATAGTTACAACCAACATCATCCGTCAGTTGCCAGAATTGTGAAATGTCCCCCAGTCTTGGGCCTTAAATAGGTGGTGAGTAACCCACCAGAGAAACGTCGTCGCCGACGGCTAAACTTTGTGACACTGCTCTCCCAACGCGCCACTCGTGTGCCGAAGCAGCGAGGGTTGATAGATCACGTGAACCGTTGGGCAGCTCCCCTTGGGTGTCGAGGAGGAGCAGTACCCTGGCTCGCCAGTTGACGGCGGTACATCAGAAATGTGGACTCCACCTGTTCCGTGTCGGGTGAGAGTGTCGCGCCCTCGCACGCGCGTGGGTTTTCTCCGGGCGCTCCGGTTTCATCCCACGTGTAAACAGCTCCTTGATTGGCCGAGTAACACCTGCGTTACATGGCGGACCGCAGAGCTTTAGTGGGCAATTTGACACCGGCTCACCACGTGGCCGACTTGCTGCTTCGACTGCGGTTCCTCCTCCCCAGTTCTCCCTCTCCGAGAGAGAACGCCGGGCGCAGGCGCCACGTTTACCGAGCCTTGGCGTTCTTCTTCTCCTCACCGCGGCGATGGCGCTACCCGACGTGTGTCCCGCCGCTGATTCGTGACCCCCGCAGGAAGCAGGTGCTGGCGACCAAGGCGGAGGCCGAGAAGGACGGCGTCAAAGTGCCCACCACCCTCGCCGAGTACTGCGTCAAGACCAAGCTGCCCGCCAAGGAGAGCGGCTGCGACATGCTGCTCGACGAGCTGTACGACGACGACGACGACGACGAGGACGACCTGGACGACGACGAAGATGACGAGGGCCTCGCCGGGGAGTACTGCGATGACGGAGAGGACGACTCGGGCAACGAGTCCTGAAGCCGGCCGCTCCCGCACCCACGCCATCCCCTCTTCTCTACCACCTCCCCCCCCCTCCCCCCCTCCTGTATCTTCCTGCTCCTCTCTCGCCTCTATTCTTCTCTGCTCTCTCCTCCTTACCCGCTCACTCTCACCTCCGTGTCTCTCCTCTCTCGCCCTCTCGCCTTTCTCACCGCTGCTCTTTCCTCATCCTCTCGCACGTTTCGATTTATCTCATTTTTACCCCACCCCCTCTCCAGTCGTAGCATTTGCCGCTTCCTCCACTTTTTTCTCCTCTCCCTTCACTCCCCCCCCACCCCCCCCCCCCCCCAAGACTTGGCCAAGGACGGCACCTATCCGCTTCGGCCGTCGAGAGAAAGAGACAAACCTTTTATTTTTCAAATAAGTTAACGTCAAGTTGCTAGAGCGGGTAAATGAGTGACGGTGCAACCACGCGCGCATCCCCACGCCCGTGAGCGACCGAGCGGGCGAGCCGGCCGGCCAATGGATCTGGCAGACGAGTGCCCGACGGCTCGACGGTCGGTGACCCTGCGTGACCTCCGGGGCGACGTTTGGTTTTGTTTACGGTGGCGGGCACGCGGGCTCTCTGCGTCGCCTGCAGCCGCCCACCACCTCGCCCGCGCACCCCAAACTGATTTGTTTTTCTCGAGCGGCTTCAACGAGCAGACAAAACCTTATGCAACTTCTCACGGCCCCACCCGCCACCTGTGTAGCCTTTACCTCCCCGGCCGCTCCCACCTGTACCGACATCGCCTTCCCGAAGAAAATAAAAGTAAAATCCCAAGTGCTGCGCAGGGGGTTTGAAGCACACGCGTGCATGCATACGTGCACAAAGGCCTTTCAAAGGGGAACTGAAGCTCATTTATTGAATGTCCCCTGCCCTTACGCCGATGTTTTTAAGCGAACGGTGCCGAGTGTTCAGTTTCTTTAAAGCTGTGGTTTTCCGCTGCTGCGGCGGGGGTGATGGCATTAGGCCCCCGAATGTGAGGAATTTAAACGGCAACATTGAAATTAACGCAATATTGCATCTTTGAATACTTTTCTAAAGCTTCCGTTCCCCTTCCCCTCTTAGGCTCATGCGCGCCAAGTAGGATTTGAGTCATTTTCCGTAGTTTACTGGCGACATGCGGAATGTTTTTATTTTATTATCAGGCCCTTCTCTGGTTTCCAGCTCTTAAGTTTTACAAACAAACAAAAAGTTTCTTGGCACTACCGACCGGCAAACAGGGGGCACACATTGGACCATCTCCACCGGGTTAAAAAGAACGTCATAGTTCAAATAGAACTCAATTGGTGTTCCCACATGGGCTGACAAACGAGTAGACATTATCACTGTACGAGTCATTACGCTCTGACCGAACGGCGATTGCCCAAAACGTTGGCATATACAGGGACTCTTACGAACGAGTTAGGTTCCAGAGGTCTGTTCGCAAGTCCATTTGTTCGCAAGTCCAACTTAACTCCTGTTCGATTCCAAACGTGCTGTTATGGCATGTACACTAAACACGGGGAATGGCTTTACAAGTTGTATAATCTCCTGTAGATGCCACTGGTTCTTCATGTTCTGTCCACAGACGTAGATGCCACCACCGCCATCTATTGTGCGGCTGGTTGAACTTACGAATCTCGGTCTGAACAGACAACTGGAGATACGGACAGGTTTGTTCGTATCTCTGAAAGTTCGTTAGTCGAATGTTCGTAAGTAGATGAGTCCCTGTATATGTGTGTTCACTCGTGACGCAGTGTTGCATTCGCGACCGCGGTTGTAACATAGAGCGAAGGATGATATTAATAGCGATAGCGCCAATCGCAGCGATGAGCGACTTGCATCTCGTCTCCCCTCAACACGTTTGAAAGGGGCACCCCCAGTGGCAACTGTCCGTGTGTGTGCGGCACAAGGTGACTCGGCGCCTGACCTGCAAGCGGGAGCTGGTCTGCCAGTAGGGGGCGGTGATTTCCGCCGTGTGTCAACTCAATCGAGTAACTTATCCTCGTATCACCCCAGTTTTTGCCCGATATCTCTCGCGCGCAGGGTTGTCGCGGTGTATAGTTCGCGATACGATCTGAAATGTCACAATGACTACTGCGATATCAGTTATCCTTTGCAATTATAGTTCACGTTATTTGCATCAAGATTTTGTGCTTTGATGTACTGAAAAGTACGAATGCTTCGAAGTTCAATCCTCGCTACTGCAATTTGCTCAACATTAGCCACAAGTTTTTCTATTTGTTGCAACTTTACGAATCTGTAAGGCTTACCGCGTACAACATAACCACCGTGCTGGCAATTTACCCAGAAAACATTTCACAAAACGGAAATTAAAATGTATAACGTAAAAAAATATATACTTTGCTACTACTATTGTGAATTATAATTAATCCGTAAAACATTTTTAAATGAGGAAATATATTCTTTAAATAAAAACGAGCAATGATAAAATAATGTTAAGGTGATATTGCGCAGAACAGACGATGGTGATTTTCTTGGGTCGCATTTTTAAGAAGTCGCTCAATTCGAGATGACACGGAGCAACATCGCGCCGCTACTGCGGAAACTTTGCACGAGGCTTCTGAAAAAGTCTCGGCACCCGGCGAGGCTCTCCCGACTAAACGAGCGGAATTGTTAAGAATAAATAAATGGCGTACGATTTATCCTGGCAGCCATGATCGCTGCAACTTTAGGAACGGGTAAGAAATCTCAACCGGCCCCTCACGTGGTCAAAGGGGATTCATTTGTCAACGTTAAAAGTTATTACGATCTTGGCGCAGAGTGGGTGCACACGGGGATGGTTTTTGTGTGTAGATCTTGACGCCTCGCCCCGACCCAGCCAACTGACGAAACGGTCCAATGTGTCCTCTTGTCCCGGCCCCTGTGCGTATCTTGCTCCTTTGCCTGCCCACCTTCATAAATAAATAAAGTGGCCTCTCGCTGAACCACAAGATGCACTGCGGGCCAACGCAACGGCGTAAATCTTACCGCGAGCAACATGCACACTTTGTTGGTCAGCGTTTCTGCAGCGTCCTCCGTGTGTACTCCGTGTGTGTGTGTATATAAATATAGAGTATAGAATTGTACAAAAATTATACCGTACTTTGAAACTGGAACTTTTATTAGTGTGGGTGTGTGCTCCCCCCCCTTGGGAGCAGTCTCGAGCGTCTTTGGAACATTTAGACAGCGCACGCTGCTGGAAGCATGTTCTCCCCCCTTCGGTCGTACGCGCCCTGCTACAAGCAGCAGGGAAGCGGGAGCTGCAAATGTGGCAGGGAAGAAGGTCCCTTCGAGAAGAGGGGGTGTTTCTTTCTGGCCCTCTGCCTCAGTTGGGTTTAGTGTCCATTCGGAACTCTCCCAGACCGTTGCACCACCCCGTGTGTTGCATATCCCTCCATGGGGTCGTTGTTGACCTGTCATACGTGATCTCGGAAGAACTACTGAGATCACTTTCAGGTGATAAATATTTTTTTTTATTCACACGAGAAGGAATTGCAATATTTCACTTGCCCTGCTGCAGACAGTCGGTGATAAATGTTTTCCCTTGCTGGAATTTCACCAAAATTAAGTAAAGAACCAAATTTAATGTGATGGCTTTTGTGTGTGTGTAAAATCAATGGTGACTGGGCTGAGACCATCAACACTTCTTGAGAAGCAGGTTTACTGGAAGCTGAATTGGAATTCGGGCTCTCGGTGGTGTCAGCTCGAGTCTTTTGACCCCTGACCCTGAGCACCACAGCCACCTCCCAAGTGGCGGGTGCAGGTTTTTACACAAATCCAACCAAGGAAACATGAAGCTGGTCAGTTTGGGAATGTGAGTAACCGAATGAGGTGATGCTTCTTTATCAGATGCCTAAAATGAGGCCAAGGTTTAGAACCCCTTGGCTTTCTCTCTTTTTTTTGGGGGGGGGGGGGCGGGGTGGGTGCTAAAGCACGCGTTGTTGGGTATGATGTCCCGACATTCAAGCTCCACGCGTTGGGGAAAAAAAATCTGGCACGTGGAGCGAAACGTAAGACATCGCGCCGAAACAACGTGGTATGACCTGAAAACGCAAGTGGAGGGCTGTACGGCACATCCGCGGCAAACCTTCGCCGGAGCGTTAAACCCCTCGGCCTTCTCTCGAACTAGGCCTTCCACGGTGCGAAATGTGGTTGGGCAGCCAGTGGTTGAAACTGCGTTGTGCTGCAAAGGGAACATGCTTCCGGATATTTTACCGCTGGACATGTGTTGGGGGGGGGGGGGGGAAGAGCTTCATAGCTCATCGGATTCCTGTAGGATAAAGATTGTGATTCGTGCAGCTCTCTCGTCACGTGTGTTCTGAGGCCTTCGGGGCACGGGGAAGGGCGACTTCCTGTCCCATCAGGGTGGCGTGGCGAGGTGCTGTCTGCCCACCAGTGCTGGAGTTTGTTGACCTTTTCCTGGTCTCAAAAGCCAAGGGCCCTCTACGCTCATTGCATTGCCTTCTTAAAGACGCCAGTCGAAACTTTGACCAACCTCCCCCCCACCCACCCTATTTGTTTTTGAGTTCAACTTAATTTTATTTTTTCCCCTCCTGTTTAGCAAAGTTATGTATATTAAAATAATAGTCATTAAATAAAATATGCTGATGTAAAGGTGTTCCTGAGGTTATTTTCTCATTGTTGGAAATGTCTCCGTTTTCTGCCTTTGCCAGATGAAGGCCTCCCCCACCCCATATCGGGTTCTTGTTTGACCATACTTCACCGCACTGGTTAAATGCGATTTGGTCAAGGTAGTCCAGGAGCAGTTTGGATATTGCTCGCCACCAACGTTAGACCGTGGCCAGGAATCGAAATGGGGTTTCTGGGTTCGTAGTGCAGTGTGCTTACCAATTCGCAGCTGCACCAAACGCAACACTTAGCGTGTGAAAAATCAGAATAGGTTTTACCCTGATAATTGTTTTTTTACCCTTTAATCTGGCAACAGAACTGACACCTTTTTTACAAGGAGTAAAGTTTACATTGACCACAATACCTGCGGTCGGAATGCAAACAAAAAAACATAACTCTGATAATGTATTGGCACTGTCCTTGAAATTGATTGCTCCACACCCGAGACAGCATTCCGACCGCAGGTATTGTGGTCAATGCAAACATGACTCCTTGTAAAAAAAAGTTGTCAGTTTTGTTGCTAGATAAAAGGGTAAAAAAACAATTATCATATTTTGCTACTGGCAAAGGAGTTTCCAATGGTGTGAATGCTTCACCGAGCTCTCATACTCTGATGGTGCATTGTCTTTGAGTTGTGCGCCTTTTGGCGTCTTCTGGTCCAACACCATGTGAGACGAGGCTCTAAGGAAAGCTGTCTCGGGTGTGTGGACCAATCAATTTCAAGGACAGTGCCAATACATTATCAGAGTTATGTTTTTTGTTTGCGTTCCGACCGCAGTTATTGTGGTCAATGCAAACATGACTCCTTGTAAAAAAGGTGTCAGTTTTGTTGCCAGATAAAAGGGTAAAAAAACAATTATCATATTTTGCTACTGGCAAAGGAGGTTCCAATGGTGTAAATGTTTGACCCTTTTTGCCAATGTTGAGATGTTCAAACACCAAATACCTTTTGCAAAGAATCAAGTCTGCATTTACCACACGTACTTGTGGTGAACATGCAAACAAACATGCTGATATATGCCATTGTCTTTGAAACTGATTGGCCTACACAACAGCATTCTTTTTGGCCGAGCCTCACCACCAGTGTCAGACCAGAGGACGCCACCCAGAGGGCGAACGGTACAAAGACGATGCCACACGTATCAGAGCATTTACAGCTCGGGGTGAGCACTTCACGTTGTCTGCTGCCATTAATCGGTCACTCGGTACGAAGCCAGATTACACATCCACCATCTAACCCCTTACAACATATAGACTCCTCTTCCATTGCCATAATGCCTTTTGCAGTACATTCCAAGACACCTGCAAAGGTGAAAAAAACCCGCAATGAAAGTTGAATAACCAGTACAGGTAAATGTGTTGTCACACCTGCGGAGGTAGATAGTGTGGAATTTGAAACCCCTGCGCAAGTAAACTTGATTGTACCTTTAACCATCTGCACAGGTAAACATGGTGTAGAACTGTAAACACCTGCACAGGTAAACTTGATGACAACTTTAAACACCTGCATCGGTAAACTTGATTGGAACCTTTACCACGTGTTTTATTTGCAAGTCAAGTTGGTGACGGGCCCAAGCCAAAATGGTATAGCAGGGCCACAGATTTCAACGGCGAGGGGAGGCCTTCATCCAGCAGTGGATACATCACGACTAATGATGATGAACACAGAATGAGACACTCGGTCCCCAGGGCTTGAAGCCAGGACACTATGTATTCCTGGCGAAGTGTATGAGACGTGGCCATAGTGAATTCCTCAGACACCCAGTCACAGCGAGAGCTTGAATTCGGGTGGAGTGCTTCGTGCGTGGCGTTGACGTGGCCATTACGAACCCACTCAAGTTATCCACAAAGGCGTAAACTGATGAAACGAATGTCTCCACTTTAAATCGTGGATGAATGAGCATAGCAATGTTACTGTGTTATAGAAGGCAGAGCAAACCGAGTGAAACCACAACATACACATGAAAAGGAAACGTACAACGAGGCGAAGATAATAAACTGAAGATTACATGCATAGAACTCTGCAAAAGGATTATGGAAAAAGAATGAAAAAAACCTAAACAAAAAACACGAGTGAAGACATCACAGCGAGAAGCGACGGGAGCGTGGAAGCGGCTTAGACTAGCTTGAGGATTGGCAAATGCACAAAGACATGCCGACGTTAAAAGCGTTACTTTTATTTTACAGATCGCGACTCTTTACACAAAAGGCGACCGGGTGCACGGAGACCCCGATGGTAAACCTTGCGCACGTTCCTCCAATATGCAAGGACGCGTGCCGTGATTTAGCTGGGGCACCCGGTCCCTTTGTGCCTATATGACAAGAGTTTCAGACGGCCATAACGACGCGGTGAAAATTACTGCGCCCGACACAAACTTGCACCGTGAAATAAAAAAAAAATCAAGACGTGAAGCTTGTACACGCTCCGGCGTCTCTACTTGCCGCCTTCGTTAACCGCGCACTGACCAGCGCGGTGAAGCATGGTCAAATAACCGCCTTCATATCCAGCAGTGGATTGACCAAGGGCTGTACATTATGTAACCACTGAAAGTGGGCTCTCTGAGAGGTCCCTTCTAGTGCAGGCCCTTCTACCAGCATCGCGGTGTGTCGGCAGGACATTGAGGGCTGCACCTTGGCATGTACTTATACATTATATACACGTGCAGCAAATAATATAGCAATATTTCAATACACTTTTCACAAGCTGTACATGTCAATAGTATTTGCGTGATATTCTAACGAGTCTCATTCACACACGTTCACCCGCCCTCCACCCCTTGTAGACCATTTGACTGCCCTCACCAAATACAAACTCGAAAACCCCACCGAGTGCTCTTAAACAATGTTAGGAATGCTGTACTTTTCACCGGAGGTAATCCGAATGAGTCAAGCTCGAATCAAAAGCGAATGGACGGTTGAATTCCTCACCCAAAACGACTTTCCGTCGGTAGATTTGGGACGGTGGTAGATGACCCAAGAGCCACATCCAGAGCGAGAGGTCCACACTTGGGATGTGGTGTGCCAGAAGCGGCAATTTGTTGGCCGGTAACATGACGCGACCCATGCGATCCCGTTGCCGACGACGAATCCTGCGCCACCTTTACCCAAAACCACCGGGCCGACTGCACCGGTTCGCTACCCAAACGAGCGAGCCCCGAAACTCAAAAGTCCTGCCAACCACCCTCTGGAATCATTCACCCGGGGAAGCCTCGTCCAACAACGAGTCTCAAGACCTCCACTGCAAAGAGGTCCCCGGCGTCGCACAGGAATGTTTGGCCAATTCCGTCGGCGAGCATTCGCCTTCGCGTGGCAGGAAACTGGGAGAGCCCGGAGAGACCAAAAAAAAAAACCCGGCGCCACACATCGCACGAGGCAACACCCGGCACCGCCGTACACGTCTCCCAGCGACACGTGGCGAGCCCCGCGGTTGTTATCCCACCAAAGGTACGAAGCCCAACCCTGCTGAGCTTCACAGACATGACGAGGTCCTCCCAAAGACGCACAGAACCGCCTGAAAACGTAATTGTACAGAACCGGCCTAGGCGACAGCAGGGCTTCGGCTTTGTTCACCACAAGGCCATGTGTTTTCGCACCGAAACGTCGCTTTTTTCTTCCGCGCAGCAAGGATCCTGGTTTGTCGAGCACCGTGCCCGGGGTGGTGGTGGTGGTGGTGGGGGGGGTGCTGTTCGGCCCAGAGACTCGAAATTGGCCGTCGTCCTTCTGGAGGATTCTTCTTCTTCTGCGTCCTGGTGGAGGCAGCAACCAAGACGGCGGAATCGTCCCCATGGGGGGCGTGTGGGGCGTGTGGGGGGCGTGGGGCGCGTGGGGCGTGTGGGGGGCGTGTGGGGCGTGGGGCATGGGGGGCGTGGGGGGCGTGGGGCACGTGGGGCGTGGGGGGCGTGGCCAGGTGATGCGTTAACCGCGACCTCTTTGCAGGAGCGAGCACGCGGAAAAGCGCGCTCCATCCTCACAGGAAAAGCCACCGCTGAAGCATGTTTTTTTTAACGAAATACACTTTGGCATGATTTCAGAGCTATACTTAAATTTTTTTCTATACATTTTTTATAAGAAATAATAGCTCCACTCTAACCACAATCGGCCAACTATTTCCAGCAGAAATCAGTTTTCCCATTTTTTTTTTCTACTTATGCGGACATCCCGACAACGTCCAAATCGCCCGGTGACCGAAAGATTATGGGCTCGGAAAGCGTGACGTTCCGACGCAGACGACAAAACCGCTCGCTAAAACCATGAAAATAATGACGTGCCGTGGAAGTGTGGAAAATAATATTACTTTAATAGAACTCTATGGCGATAGTCCTGCCGCGCTCAACGGCTCGGCTGGGTAAATCTGGAGACGGTCACTTACCCAAAAAATAAAAACCCACTAAAGATCACGTTATGTACAAGCAGGAGGATGAAAACATCGAGTACAAAACTTTAAAAGGCGACGATCTGGCTTCCCCCTTACGATATAATTTTTTTACGGCCGGCAAAAAAAAAATAAACACGCGCCTGCCGCTGTGACTCTCCCGCGTGTAACGTCGTATAAAGTAGTGCACGCGATCGCTGAGCAAGCCCACTTTGCCAGGGCCTCCTCCCCCCCTCCCCACCAATTCTGACACCGGGACTCGCTCACTCCGCCGTCCCGCAAAGCGAGAGCGGTGCCAGCAATTAAATAATTCCCCCATCGCCCGGTGGCGGGGGGGGGGGGGGCGCCAGCGAGTTCGGCGTACCGCACAGCGCGGGTCAGGGCTAAGCGCCTTACCGTGGCGGTTTCGTAAAAACGCAAAAAGAATCCCTACGACCGCGCTTCTTGTTGTTGCTGTTGTTGCTGTTGCTGTGCGTGGCACAAGCAAGACGCCGGCGGGCGCTGCGGGCGAAGCGGTCGGCGCCTGTTGGCGGCGCCGAGCGGGGCGGCCGGGCGAGCGCCCGCTCGCCCCGCGGCGGAGCGCCGTGAGCCGGCGAATCCAGCGCCGCCCATCGGCGCTCAGTCCCACAGGCCGGCGTAGTTGCCGTGCAGCCCAGAGGGCAGTGGGCCGCCCGCCACGAAGAGCTTGGTGCCTGACGCGTCGTAGCAGTGCGTGTACGCCGCGTTGGGGAAGTGGTCCATGTCGGAGAAGTAGTCGCGCCACGTGTCGTCGTGGTTCTGCTTGCGTGCGGGCGGCACGGGGTGGGGACAGCGGCAAGAGCGTGGGTTACTGTATCAGCCGGGGGAGCTAATGGAGAGGACATGGTGCGGGGGGGAGAACACCCAAGCACGCACGAGAATACATCGACCTTAGGTCCACGAATCGTGCGTGTGCAGTCGATCGGAATGCTCTTCATTCCGATCTACTGCTGCATCATGCGTTGAACTTTGATGATGACGGGAGTCGTGCCCAGAGGTGGAAACGGGAGGGAGGACATCCACCACAGAGACGGAGCGGCGAAATCGGCGGGTGCCCTGGAGCTGGACGGAATGCTGCATCGTCACTCCGGGCGCCGCAAGTGGGCGAGATGTTAATTACCTCGCCGGGTATACAGGAGGCCTGTACATTTGGAGTTTGTACGTTCTCCCGATGGTTGCGCGGATTTTTCTCCCTCCACATCAATAATCAATGTGCACGCAGAGTATTTGGCTGCTATGACTTTCCAAATGATGACGAGCCACTTCTGATAAAGGGCTCCCCCCGTAGCATCGGTGCGGCCTTACCTGGTGAAATAAAAATTTGGCGTAATAGTTTTTGGAGCTCGGGGGGGGGGGGGTCACCGCCCCGCTCCGCAATCGCGAATAAAACAATAAACCCGAGCACGCAGCACCGGCGGGCGTACCAGCCAGCCACGCGCCGTCGACAGCTTGAGCACGTCGCAGTACTTGGGCTTCAACTCCTTGCTGCCGCGGGCGCTGCCCTCGCCCCCAGACGCCGCCCGCTCCAGGAACTTCTGCGCGCGGATGTCGTAGAAGAGCACGGAGCCCTGCCCCGTGCCCACCGTGATGACGTGCTCGTAGAAGCTCACCGACCGGATGCCTGCGGGAACGGCGGTCCGGCGGGCCGGTGGGCACGGGGCGCCACACGGCTGCAATCAGGATTCGAGTCGACGGCACGTCCCGACGCGAGACCGCTCCCACCGGGGGGGGGGGGGAGATACGGTGCGGGGCGGCGTAGGGGGTAGGGCAGCAAAGTCCCGCAGAGCGGCCACCACCGTCATTACCACCTCCACTCCCACCACGGCCACCGACTGCCGCCCACCACTGCCGCTACCATCGGCACCACCGCCACCGTCGCTGCTACCAGCGCAAAGGCAAAAGATCCCATGCATAGCCTTGAACCGACTGTTGGAGCAAGTGTCGCGTGCGAGCACTTACGAAGGCTGGCACGGCACTCGGGGTGGTGTTGGGTGGCCAACTCCACACTTTGGCTGCCATTGTCTCCCCCAGCGCCGATGTTTACAAACCGCACCAGGTATTCATTTAAAGCCACTGTCACTGGTTGCGAGCGCGCATTGAACTCGGAGGTCGCCGGCTTCAGACCGCGGCGCACTTACCGCCACACTATCGCTCCCCATATCGCGACGGCCACGACAACCACCAACACCACCGCCGGGCACGGCGACTCACCGCTGCCCTTCTCGCGCGAGTTGACGGAGCGCGGGCCCTGGGTGGTGCGCGGATCGAGCAGCGACACGTGCGATTGCGAGCCCACGGCGTACACCGACCACTCGTGCCCGTACGCCAGGCACACGTTCTCTCGGCAGTGCGCCAGCTTCCGCGACATGATCTGTGGGGGTGGGGGGGGTAGACCGGCGGGGCAGGGGGGGCGCAGTGAGCACGTGGTGGTGGGGGGGATACACCCCCCACCGCCGCCTGCTCATCTCTAAACCAAGCGAGCATCATCGTCAGCCGTCATCGATCCACTACTGGGCCGGGAGAGGCGGTGAGAGCACGCAGACCCACCTGTTTGTCTCAAGCTAAGCCACCTTCATTATGAATAATATTGGTCGTGAAAGCCCACGTGTCAAAACTTAGCATTATCATCGTTGTCGGCCGTGCTTTATCCACTTTCAGATGAACAACTCCCCAAAGCCAGCGCACGCGCGATGTAACGATCTATCTGGCCCTGGCGCACGAGCCGTTTTCACCGAGTGACTATCCCAGGGATTCGTAGTCTCTTCGGCCTGGAGACGTGACTGTGTCACGGCAGGTCACACACACACACATTAGACACGTTCCTTACACCTTGCACATGGAACCACAACAACCCTTGAAGACAAAAACCGCCGGCCGCCACAGTGCACACCACCGCCCCTGCGATTCGCGCACACGGAAGCCTCCACCGCCTCAACACGGACGGCCGCTCAGCCGCCACTTGACAACGAGCGGCGTTCCAAGCGGCGCCGCTCTCACCTTGTCCAGGCTGTTTTCGGTCTTCCACAAGTGAAAATACCCGTCCAGCGAGACCGCTCCAAGCTCCTTTAAAGAAAAAAAACACAAGCGCGCTCATGAGCAGGAAATCGGCTATTTATTTTCAGACCCGCTTGAGCGTATTAGCCAAAAAAAACAACCCCCCCCCACACACAGGTGAATTCATAGCGGCCACCTCAATGTGTGCGCGAGTTGGGGGACAAGTGAAAACTCTCGACGTCGACTTTTAATCGCAACGTCTGTGCGTTGATTGCCGCACAGACGTTGCGAAAAACTCCCTTTCCGTGGGCGTCGAAGAGGTGTCCACACATCGACCTGCTAGGGAGAAGGCGGCCCCCGGCAAAAATGCGGACTCCAGCTTTTCCGTCCGCATGAGAACAAGCGTTTCCCCTCCTTCCACGCGTGGATTTTCTCCGGATGCTCCGGTGTCCTCCCGCATATACTCATTGATTGGCCAATGACACCTTCCCTTCTATTTTCTTCGGCTGTCCATCGCAAACGATGACCAACGGCTAGCGACAGCAGCAGCAGCAGCAGCATTTTCCTGTGCGCCGGTATGATGAGAGCCCAGCCCTTGAGCGGGAAGCTTCGGCCGCAACGCGTGGCCAAGAGTTGCTGCTCATGTGCTGAATGAGATTCGTGCCGTGGCGTTGCTGCTGGTGTTGATGCCGACAGGCCAGGCTAACAGCTGACTACACAAGAGGACCGCAGAGCGTGGGGCAATTGTTGGTGGCGCCGGCTCATTGCTTGTCTGTGGATCCTCGCGCCCCCAAGTCGTCCTCTCTTCTGAGAGCGATGAGCGAGTTGCCGTGTTGTAAATCAAGCCCCCCCCTCTCCCCTCCTCTCCCCCGAGTGTACCGTAACATCCTTTAGAAACGGCAATCAAATTCTCACGGACGCCAACGCCAATTGCGTGATCAAACCTTCATAACCAATCGAAGAGCAAATAAAATAAAATTTGCTTTTTTGACTCGAGCGAACGACACCCCACCTTCTCCCCCCCCCTTCTCTCTCCCCCCCGCCAGCCGACCTCTCCAGTGCTGCTGCGGTGGTCCACTTCACTCCAGTGACCCGGGTGCTGCTGCGGGGTCAACTTTCTGCTCCGCCTCCTCCCCTCTTCTCTCCCCCCCCCCACTGCCGAGGCCTCTATAACCTCGTGCCACGGCAGATCTCTCGTCTACTTCAGCAGTTGCTTCTCGCTGTGGTTGTCCCACCTGATGACGATTGCTTGTATTGCGATCGAAACGTCGTGATCTATTATTTTTCTACCTACGTGACTTTACAGAAAGAACCAGATGGTTCTTGGACACCCAAGAGTTTTGGTCTTACCCAGGACTCTCAATTATCGTGAAATCAATCACCGCATTACCATGAGCACAACGTCACGAAAGCTTGTGACATTGTGCGAAGGAAAGAGTTGTGAGACATTAGTCCCAAGGAAAGGTTCCCAAACTCCAGGATACAAGGGATTGCTGCATCGTGGGACCGCGAGAGATCGTGACAATGGGGAGACCTTCATTCAGCAGTGGGTCGATCATGACTGGCGACGACAAAAATTCTAGATTTGAAGCTTTCGTGACTGCAAGGATTCATACTCTTTGGTTTTATTCGGTAAAGCCACGTGACTTTACCGACGGCTAAAATGCGCAGGCTTTCACGGTCACGCCGTACAGCTCTACGATCTGCTGTTCGGCACGATGTTCAACGTTTTGCTCCACGTGTTTTGAAGCATTTTCAGGCAACTGAACTGTCGGACGTCATACCTAACGCAACCCGAAAACAGATCGGAGCGCGACCATGAAGACCACGTTGTTCCCAGTGTTTTCCAAGGTGGGGCCAACAATACCTTGATACAGGCGAAGGGCTAGCTTGCGGGCGTGCGTGCCGGCGGGCCTGCGTGCCAGCTGCCACGCGGACAGTGACTTGGGGGCCAGCCGTACCTGCTGGCTGCAATTGAAGGCGAGGGCGCGCACTTTGCACGTGAAGGGGTTGATGTAGTGAGCTGGGATGTCCTCTAGGGCGCGAGGGCCCACGTGGCAGTAGCCGGGGACGGACTGCTCCTCCTCCTCCGCCGCCGCCTTCGCCGACGCTGCCGCCAGCGCCTCGTCGCCAACCTCCCACAGGCCCATGGAGCCGTCTCGCGAGCCTGCGCCGCCACGCCGGGCCGGCCACGCGTTAAGGGTGAAACGCGGATATCACCACGCCAATGACAGCGTCGGTGTGAAAACGCGATCCGCCGCAATGCGCCGCACGTACGCCATCGGCGCCCCACCGGCACTATGCGATAAGCAGCAACGTAGCAAGCCACGGCCGCGACAATCCACGGCAAGATAGGCCACACCAACACGCGCGTTGTCACACCACGACACATCGCTGCAGTACATATCATCACACCAAGGCACACTACCACAATACTCCGCAAGAGGCCGCACCATCCAATCAAACAAGCAGTCCAAAGCCCACAAAGTCACAACACAACATTACAACGCAATGTTACAGCAATCATTATCTAACCAAGCCACAACAACCCCCATGATGTGTTACACCACTCACTGAAACATAAGCAAACCACAGCACTCCAAGCCACGTGCATCATGCCAAACAACATCAGTATCATGAACGCACCGGTGCACAATGTCTTGCAATACCTTGCCAGTTTAAGACCATCACACCACACCACCACACTATACCACACTAAACTGCCCCATGCTACAGCACACCATGCCACGCTACGCCACAATGTTACACCACGCACTAAGCCACCCCGGAACGCACCACATCATGACTACGTGATATCACGCTACATCACACCACGCTGCGATACACTGTGCTACGCCACGCTATGCAGCGTCACACTGCACCGCATCAACAAGCGCTTCAAATAGTCAGGAAACTGCTCCGGCCGCGGGGCGCAAGCGTAACGTTTGACATGTGCGGGCTGGACCCAAACGACCGACCTGTGACAACGAAGCTGTCGCTGACCCAGGCGATGGAGAAGATCCAGTCCTTGTGTCCACCCTGGCCCCCACAGGACAACGGAAAATGTTTATTAATACGCTGGGTCTGCGACGTCACAGGACCTCTCGCGGGCGTCCGGTGGGTATCCTTACGGCCACACTTCCATTTGGCAAAAACGCTTCGACCCACCACCAACATTTTAGCAGGCCGATGTGCGGAACGAGGAAATTTGAGACGAGCCACGGGAGTGGGATCGTGGCCGCGCGATCCAAAACAGCGGATCGCCGAAGAAATATCCGAGCACAATTCAAATTAATCAGTGACGGAGCCAAACTAAGGCAGCTTGAGGATGATCAGGGATCGGTGTAATTGCCCGAGGTTTGCAGAATGAGACAGAAGGATTCCTTGACATCAACGTTCATGCCGGAAACTCATGAAGCCAAAACAGAGCTGCTCGGGTTACCACTACGAGAAAGGTTACGCTGCAAGGTCAACACAGCAGGGGTGATGGCGCACAGTGTGTGTGTGCACTGTGAGGTCCACCACACAACTCGAGGTGAACGGGGAGTCGTTTGGAGCCTCACGATTTGTAGTTTATGCGAACAAGGTCTTAATTATATGTAACAAAAATTCTTATCATTGACCCCATGGTTCAAATTATCCTCAGCACTGCTTATCCCCTCTCACATTTACAATAGCCCAGCACGTGACACAAGCCGATTTCAAAATTCATACAAAGAACAGGCATGTGTCAATGGGGAGGGGTTTGACTCTTGGCTGTAAACCTACATGCCATGCGACGATGATTACAATGACGGAAATAATAATCACCATGAAAATAACGATGACAAGATGATGGTGGAATAATGAATACAATGATGACCACCATCACGAGAACGATAGTGAGGGTCAGATTTTGGCATAAATCTCCCTCCATGTGATTTATTACCAATACATCTCAATAGGCTTTCCAATGGTATGCATAAAATATGCATATCAATTTAGGCTAATGTGGTGAACCAAACTGTGCAAATGTGTTTTACTGAGGTGGTAAATTTGAGACAATATATATAAAAAAAATGGATCCAAAGTGTCCATTATCCGAGGGCAGAGTATTTTTCTAAGCAACTCAAATAATAATTTCCATTTTGATTTCACAGGCAAACTAACTCGAATCAAACTGCGACGCAGGCAGGTGATGAGACTTACAATGCCCGCTCACGTAAGCTGCGCCAACCCTTACTGAAACCCTGGCCCCAACAACCACCACGACCGTCACGCCCGGCTAACCCGGCCGGCCCGTCTCACTCACGTCTCCGACGCACACGGGGTCCAGCGTGGGCAGGCGGTACACGGCGAGGCTGTTGGGGTTAGCGCCGCCCGTCGCGAGCAGCGTGCGAGACGGGTTGATCTCGATCGCGTGAATCCCGCAGCCCGGGTGCTCCGGTTCAGCGCCAACTCCTCCTCCTCCTCCACCCACGGCAGCGCCGCCGATTCCAGCGGCGCCCCCAACACCGGCGCCGCCATCGCGCAGCGTCGGGATCTTGGTGAGGCGTCCCGTCACCAGGTCCAGCACAAAGAGCTGCCGTGCACCGAAGCCCGCGAGCACAATGGCCACATTTACATTTTACTGGATATCTGTGAAAGAGAGCTTTATAAGCTCATCGGATTCCTCCAGGATAAATACATATTCTCATTTAGTTTAAATTCAAACTTCTGTCTACATATTATTGGTTTTTTTCGGTAAAGTCACGTAGAAGGGAAACAATAAAATAATAAAAATATAAAACAATACATGTCTACGTTTATGATGTTCCAACTGCGTCATCACTAACGACAGACACGTTGTCGTTATGGGACTCCCCCTGGAGCTGTTGTGGTGCAAGAACTCTTAATTTCTTAATTCCTCAATGAAGTATATATATGTTTATCCTGTTTCTGTCCAGCGTCTTGAGATGCAATTATATTTAGATGTGACATAAATATAAATTGTCATTGCTGTTAAAGACAAATGGACAGACGGACAAACTTTGATGGACAGTTGTACATATGGCCAGAGAATTAAGAGAGCCATATACATGAACAGACAGCCATACTTGTCAACCCATCACGGTTTACCTGTATTCATGTACAGGGAAATTGAGTTTTCCGGTCCATACGGCGTACAGACGTTTCAATACGAGTAAAAAAATTAAAAAGTGTCTATTTGTTTGCGTTTCTCCCGTGCAACTGGACTTTGTAGGATGAACGTTGAGATGTATAAGGGCACGGGGGCGACCAATAAGGTCTGCATCCGATAAGGGGTTGCAGGTATGGACAGCTGAACAGTCAAGTCTTACATACGGACCAGACCTCGAGACACACGCACAACGCAAAAGGACAGACGGCCGCAAAGACGAAGCCTCACACCAAGCGCCACCCCGCGGGCCTCACCGTGTTGCACTTGGTTCCGCACACCACCTGCCGATGGCTGAGCCACTGCGACGCGAACACCTTGTTGAGGGAGCCCAGGCTGTACTCACGCTCGCGCAGGAGGTACGGCAGGCGTTGGGCCGTGTAGCCGCCCAGCCCGTTGCCAACTCCACCGCCGCCAGAGTGGCCGCTGGCCGAGCCGGCCTGGCGGCTCTCCACAAAGCTCACAAGCGAAGTGGGTGGCCTCCGCACGCGTGACCGCTTCGGGCACAACTCCTCCGAGCAAGACTGCACTCCGGCGAAGAGGACAACGGTTGCGATTTTAATATATTTATAGCGTCCACACGACAAACATCACATCTCGAGAGGATTTGTCAATTTTTTTTGTTAAAACGAAATTACAAATGTAATCTTACGGTTCATCCTTTTGTTTTGCGTGGCATGTCGTAGAGAGATAAGCGACTGGTTTTCGGAACAGCAGCAAAGGTTATAAATCGACGTCGATGTTGTTTGGCGATTGATGGTGAGCAGACCGGTGTCTCCGAGGAGGAATGTCGAAGCCAGGAGGGTTTGAGATGATTTGATCGAGAATGAGATGTTTTGATTTAAAGCTTTCGTGACTGCAGGGATTCATATTCTTGGTTCATTCGGTAAAGTCACCACGTTGAAGGGAAGCAATAAAATAATATTGCTTGCGTTGCAGTCGAAACGTCGTGAGAATTTTATTGTTTTATATTTGCATTATTTTATTGTTTCCCTTCTACGTGACTTTACCGAAAAACCCCAAAAAATGCGTATACCATGAGCATAAGAATCTATCACTTTTACACGACAGTGCCGAATTATGGTACCATACAGTAATGGTTAACCTCTTCCAAGCAGTACAATGATTAATTTAATTTAATCTCCAATTATGAATTTTATATCGCGGACATTCATGCAAAATGACATCGCCGACGAACCACAGACAATTTGAGCAGCTGTCATCAGGCGGTGAGTGAGAACCAACAATTTATCTGTGGTTCTCTATATCCCGAGATGTTTCTCAGCAAAACGAGTGTTTATAAATGCCCAGCGTGGAAGAGTAGGCCAAATAACCCTCTGCTCTACAGAGCTCCATAGCTGTCAACCCATACGGTTAACCCCGTATTCTTATACAGGGAAATTTAGTTCAGATCCATACGGCGTACAGCCGTTTCAATACTAGCAAAAATAAGTAATATTTAAAAATAAAAACTTTTTTTTAAAAACACGCTTTAATGAAATGTACCGTACTAGTAATGGAAAAAAACTCCAAGACTCCATGAAGTGGCCCCGAAGCTTTCCACAACGTAAGGGGGACCGTGGGTCAATTACAGCCAACGTCAGTTGACCGTGGACAATTAGACCCAAGCCGAAACATCTAACATATAAAAAATAATGTTTAAAAATATATTTTATTTTTTATGATGGAATATAGTATTGTCATCAATATGACATAAGTATACCAAGTTTGCAGTCGATATCACATTGGGAAGCGGGTTTAAATTGAGTTACAAGATTTGAGGATACAACAGAGTCCAATTAAAGCGTGTAAAAAATAATTGCGTCTGTTTTTTTTCTTGTGATGGGGCTTCATAGGATGAACGTTGAGACGTACAATGGCACGGGATGACCAATGAGGTCTAAATTGGTCTGTAATAAGTAGAGCACTTCTAAGGGGGTTGACAGATACGGAGATCGCTCCATGTGGTGGAGGGGACCGACCCCTTACCGCCGACAGCGGCAATTGCAGGGCTGCGCCTCCTCCTCCTGCTGCTGTTTTTTTTTGTTTCTTTCACACCTGATGACGGTTGCTTGTGTTGCGATCGAAACGTCGTGATCTATTATTATTATTTTTCTACCTACGTGACTTTACCGAAAGAACCAAAGAGTATGGATTCCTGCAGTCACGAAAGCTTCACATCAATAGTGAACATTATAGGAGCACAGGGTCGGCGGTGCTAACACGAGCAAGGCGTTCGTACTGCTAACGCGTTGCTAGCCTCAGCGGTGCTAACGCGAGTGGTAACGCGTTCGTACTGCTAACGCGTTACTAGCCCCAGCAGTGCTAACGCGAGCAAGGCGTTCGTACTGCTAACGCGTTACTAGCCCCAGCAGTGCTAACACGAGCAAGGCGTTCGTACTGCTAACGCGGTGCTAACGCGAGTGGTAACGCGTTCGTGCTGCTAACGCGAGTGGTAACGCGGTGCTAACGCGAGTGGTAACGCGTTCGTACTGCTAACGTGGTACTAACGCGAGTGCTAACGCGTTCGTGGTGTTAACGCGGTGCTAACGCGAGTGCTAACGCGTTCGTACTGCCAACGTGGTGCCAACGTGGTGCTAACGCGTTCGCAGGCAGTGGCCGTTGCGGCCCGGGCATTCGACCGTTCGGGCGGGTCACCAAATCGCCGCCGCCACGGGCCCCGTTGGCGAGAACTTTCGCGAGGCGCGAGCCGGCGGCGTTCGCGCGTTAGGCCGTGAAAACCGCGGCCCGCCGTAGGCCCGCGTAAGGCCCCCGTAGGCCCTCCGTAGGCCCGCGCAGAACCACCGTAGGACCTCCGTAGGCCCGCGTAAGGCCCCCCCCCCGTCCCCCCGTAGGCCCTTGACAGGACCCCCGTAGGCCGGCGCAGGCCCCCCCGCCCCCCATAGTCCTACGTAGGACCCGAGTAGGCCCTCCGTAGGCCCCCTGTAGGCCCGCCCGTAGGCCCCCCCGTAGGCCCGCTTAAGCCCCCCCCCCCCCCCCGTAGGCCTGCGCAGGACCCCCGTAGGCCCTCCGTAGGCCCCCTGTAGGCCCCCCGTAGGCCCCCGTAGGCCCCCCGTAAGCCCCCGTAGGCCCCCCGTAGGCCTCACCTGCTCGTCGGCGCAGTGCTTACGCTTCCTGCTAGCTGCGCGTTTCGTCATTCTTGCGGCCGCCTCGCTCTAGCGCCGACATTAGTTTTAATTTTAATCGGCGTGGAGGTTTTTTGTTCGTGGTTTTTTATACGTATATTAAAATCGGACAACGACAACAACGACCCCGAAAGAAGTTAATTTAAAAAAGAAATCGACACCCGCTAACGTTCGGCAGCGGGATCGCGCCCCAGTCACCAACTGGGCCCAGGCACGGCCCCCCACCCACACCGCCCCCGCGCCCACGTCACCACGCGCCCCCACTACACCGGCGGCCATCTTACGTAAGGTGACGGGGAGTCGTTAGCGAACAGCGGCGCGATGACGTTGCGCTCGCGGCTTGCCTCCCCACAACGCCCCCTCCCCCAATCCCCCCTCCCCCCCCCAATTCCCCCAACCCCCGCCATCTCCCCCTCCCCCCAACCCCCCCCCTGTACTTACAGTGGGGGGTGTGGCTGTCCCCTCCTATCCCCTCCCCCTCTCTCCCCTACGTAAGATGGCCTCCGGGGCTGGGTTCACAACAAATCGCATGGGCGTCGCCTGGGCTACTGCTGCTGCACCAACCGCGCTGCGCCGGTCAACAACCTCTCCAGCAAAGACGTCATTAGGGGCGGTCCATAAATGACGTCACGCAGCTGGGGGGGGGGGGTCAGACATTTGTGACGATGTGTGACGAGGCGGGGGTGGGGCGTTTGAGAAGTGTGACGTCACATCAAAACGCGCAACTTTAAATAAATATACTTCAATTTTTATTTAAAGCTTTCGTGACTGCAAGGATTCATATGCTTGGTTCTTTCGGTAAAGTCACGTAGAAGGGAAACAATAAAATAATAAAAATATAAAACAATAAAATTATCAGCAATCATCATCGGGTGTGAAAACCACAGCAAGAAAGAACATTTTCTAGCTGTGGTTTTCACACCTGATGATGATTTTCTCGCTGTGGTTTTCACACCTGATGATGATTGCTTGTGTTGCAGTCGAGACGTCGTGAGAATTTTATTGTTTTATATTTTTATTTTATTGTTTCCCTTCTACGTGACTTTACCGAAAGAACCAAGAATACGTTCTACTTAATTAAATATCCTTTTTAATACATGTTTTCTCCTACAACATCAGAGTGCAGCGCCACATTAAATATGCACTACAATGACAATACTTTGGGGGTGGGGGGGGGGGGCAGAGCTTTGTGACGTCATAGTTGAGGGGGGGGGGTCTGACTTTTTGTGACGCCGTGTCACGACGGGAGGGGGGGGGAGGTCAAAAATAGTCCAAAATCAAGTGACGTCATTTATGAACGGCCCTTTATACCTCTGTTCTTTTGACGGGGCGGAAGACGGTAAGAGGGGAAAGAGCGAGGCTGTTGTACTGTGGTCGAGATGGTGGGCGGCGGTGTTCGGTGGCGGCTCCTCGGAAGCAACTTCCCCGAATGTGCACGGGTCATTTGCAGGGTCGTGGTGGACGGGAAGTCCCTATACCCCTGCCTTTGCGGATTGTGTGGGCTCGCAGGGCATCAAGGGGTATAGGGACTTCCCGCCCACTCGGGATCGGGAATAGAATGACGAGGATGACACTTAAATGTCGATACATCGATGCTGCGACATCGACGTTTCGGTTCCGATACATCCAAAATGTTAACGCGTTGATGCGATGGTCCCATCCCTACTGGCACTCTCCCCGCCAAAATGCATTCACTTTAACCCTTGAATGCTGGATTGTGGTTCTTTCGGTAAAGTCACGTGGGTATAAAATAAAACAAAATAAATCACGTTTCGGGCGCTTGTGTTGCTGATGACGGACTCTTGTGTTGCGCCCGAAACGTCGTGATTTATTTTGTTTTATTTTCTACCCACGTGACTTTACCGAAAGAACCAAAGAGTATGGATTCCTGCAGTCACGAAAGCTTCAAATCTAGATTGAATGGAAACGGTTTAACACGTGGGCTTTCGCGACCAATATCATGCAGATTAAAGTTATTTTTTTAGTTTGATCGCGTAAGTATAAGTGTTGTGTCGTTAACCCTCCACCACCCGACACAGCCAATGAGGTTTGTCACGTGAACAAAACGCGCCGATTAGTGACTACTTCAGCCCGCCATGTGAGTTGCAGAGTAAATCCACAACATTTACAATTTTGAGTAGTTCAGACACTGCCGCTGCGGATTTACTCTCCGACAACACCGTCGTATAAACTAATTGGCGAGTTTTGTTCACGCGATCAAGCCTGTAGCGTATTGTTGTTATAAAGGGTCCCTAAATATATATAAAAAAACACAAATATTAAAACACGCATTTTTTTACTTTTGTAGTGCTCTTAAATGAAGGTGCACACTACGTGGTTGGAGGCAATCCGTTTATTAACACTTCCTTTATCAGGACCTTTAAGGAGCTGGTTCTATAATTGGTGTCGACGTCCTTGTAACGACGTAACCCCCAATACACGAGGCTCCACGATCCGACCACGTGACCCGACCCACTGAACGTTACTCAATGGACCCTCGATCATCTCGGCGCTCCCCTTTAATCCTGTTGCACGCTCTATCCCCCTAGTGGCGGATGTACCGTCACTACACTTGCATAGTAAGGTCATTGTAATTTTTTCATTTGCTATACAGCCAGATAATACGACAAATCGCTAACCTTAAACACGCAGTCGTTCATAAAAGTTGAAGGCGGTATAGTACTATTGCAATAGAGCAAGTGCAGAATCACTGAACCGGAATTGGTGGCTTAAAAGCATTTAGCGCGGGGCTCTTGAAAGTGCAGGGCCCGTCGCTACTACAGTGAGGGAAAAAAGTATTTGATCCCCTACTGATTTTGTACGTTTGCCCACTGACAAAGAAATGATCAGTCTTTAATTTTAATGTTAGGTTTATTTGAACAGTGAGAGACAGAATAACAACAACAAAAATCCAGAAAAACGCATGTAAAAAATGTTATAAATTGATTTGCATTTTAATGAGGGAAATAAGTATTTGACCCCTCTGCAAAACATGACTTAGTACTTGGTGGCAAAACCCTTGTTGGCAATCACAGAGGTCAGACGTTTCTTGTAGTTGGCCACCAGGTTTGCACACATCTCAGGAGGGATTTTGTCCCACTCCTCTTTGCAGATCTTCTCCAAGTCATTAAGGTTTTGAGGCTGACGTTTGGCAACTCGAACCTTCAGCTCCCTCCACAGATTTTCTATGGGATTAAGGTCTGGAGACTGGCTAGGCCACTCCAGGACCTTAATGTGCTTCTTCTTGAGCCACTCCTTTGTTGCCGGTGGGGATGGTGTTCTTGGGGTCATAGGCAGCATTCCTCCTCCTCCAAACACGGCAAGTTGAGTTGATGCCAAAGAGCTCCATTTTGGTCTCATCTGACCACAACACTTTCACCCAGTTGTCCTCTGAATCATTCAGATGTTAATTGGCAAACTTCCGACGGGCATGTATATGTGCTTTCTTGAGCAGGGGGACCTTGCGGGCGCTGCAGGATTTCAGTCCTTCACGGCGTAGTGTGTTACCAATTGTTTTCTTGGTAACTATGGTCCCAGCTGCCTTGAGATCATTGACAAGATCCTCCCGTGTAGTTCTGGGCTGATTCTTCACCGTTCTCATGATCATTGCAACTCCACGAGGTGAAATCTTGCATGGAGCCCCAGGCCGAGGGAGATTGACAGTTCTTTTGTGTTTCTTCCATTTGCGAATAATCGCACCGACTGTTGTCACCTTCTCACCAAGCTGCTTGGCAATTGTCTTGTAGCCCATTCCAGCCTTGTGTAGGTCTACAATCTTGTCCCTGACATCCTTGGAGAGCTCTTTGGTCTTGGCCATGGTGGAGAGTTTGGAATCTGATTAATTGCTTCTGTGGACAGGTATCTTTTATACAGGTAACAAGCTGAGATTAAGAGCACTCCCTTTAAGAGTGTGCTCCTAATCTCAGCTCGTTACCTATATGAAAGACACCTGGGAGCCAGAAATCTTTCTGACTGAGAGGGGTCAAATACTTATTTCTCTCATTAAAATGCAAATCAATTTATAGCATTTTTGACATGCGTTTTTCTAGATTCTGTTGTTGTTATTCTGTCTCTCACTGTTCAAATAAACCTACCATTAAAATTATAGACTGATCATTTCTTTGTCAGTGGGCAAACGTACAAAATCAGCAGGGGATAAAATACTTTTTTCCCTCACTGTACATATGTAGTAGCTACTACTACATATGTACGTATGTAGTAGTACATATGTAGTAGCTACCACTACATATGTACTACTACATACGAAGCTACTACATATGTAGTAGCTTGTAGTAGCTACTACATATTTGTGTACATATTAGTAGCTACTACTACATATCTACTACATACGTAGCTACTTTTGCTACTACGATAATCCGGCACTGGCTGAGGCCCTACTCTTTGGTTCTATTCGGTAAAGTCACGTAGGTAAAAAAAGAAAACAACAAAAATCACGACGTTTCGGCCACAACACAAGTGGCCTTCATCAGGTGAAGGGACCAGACTGTCTCGAGGACAGCGCTGGAGTGAAACACAGCCAAGCTCAGACCGCGACCTTTAAGCTGTGTGAGAGGAATCAAGGTGCCTTGACAAAGGAATTAGTATAAAAATTAGCTTTAATTGGCGGACTTAGCATGATGAAAGGTGAACATGTGCAGGTCGGCGAGGGGGGGAGGTGTGAAAAGGGAAGAGAAGGGATGCTGCGAAAGAATGGGGTATCACTACTTGAAAAAATATACTGTACCATTGAAATTAGTTTAATGTTTGGTTCGATTTAGAACATCTTTCCAATGGTTGCTTAATTTGAAACCATCTCGGTTGAAATTGTGTCTGTGCTTGTAGATCTGAATTGCCCCGTGAACAAATCTCTGATAAAAACCCGTGGGTTTGCAAAGAACCTTGGTATCGGAGAAAATTATATCGTGATCACCCACAGCGTTGTAACAGTGATCAGCTACGACAGAAGAATTCGTTCTGCCGTGTTTCAAATCTGATTTGTGCTCGCGAATTCGGTCAGAGACATGTCGCTTCGTCTCCCTGATATAGCAATCACCGCAGGTACAACTCAATTTGTAAACCCCGGGGTACTGTAAGTCAGGAATGACATCTTTCACGGATGGGATCAGATCACGAATTTTGTGTACTGTATTGAACCGGACCTGGATCTTGTGATTGTTTAGAATTTTGGAAATCTTTTTAGTGACGCCTGCTATATATGGTAGCAGGCATCACTGGCTG